AGGGGGGTTTTTGGTTTTTGGGAAAGGTGTAACAGTGCTGGGGGTGTCTGCAGGGAGGGGGTAAAAAAAGTAAAAAGGGCAGCCACAGCCATGTGATTGAAGCCCTACCTCTGTCTTGATGCCTGTAAAAAAGGGGCAAGGCTTCAATCACATGGCTGTGGCTGCCATTTTGACTTTTTTGACCTCCTCCCTGCAGACACCTCAGGCACTGTTACACCTTGCCAAAAAACCAAAAACCCTCGTGTTTGCTCCCAGCAACCTTGTGGTCCTGGGGCCCAAACTTAATTCAGGCAGGGGAAATCTACATTACAGATAGGTAGTACATGGAGGTATATGTCCAGAAGTTCTTCTTTTGCCTATTTTTGGATGACTTAAAGAGCTATTTTAAATATCTTTTGACTTTACTGTTAAGCTTTTTGGCAGCTGCTAAAACCAAACATTACTCTTTTCCAAGCACGATTCTCATGGAGTTCCTTTTAGCAAATTATATAAAGATGATAGGCTTGGGGGTTACAGAAATTCAGGCTCCTGAACTATTTCCCACCTAGGATCAATCTACCCAAAGTACATAAGAATGGAAATTCTCCACTTGTCTTTCTAACATCTTTCCTATAATCCAGCGAGATGGCAGGTTTTTTTTCATAGATAACAGAGAATTTTGTAGTTGACTCTTTGGCTGATAATCTCCTGAATCTTTATCAGTCTAGAAACTGACCATTATATTTATGCTACAATTGTCGCGTTTCCTGCCTCACTGTGGAGAGAAACTCTGCTGCCAATTTTCCATACTTGTGCTTAGAGGGGGCTCAGGGATCCAGAAAAACAGGCTCAACATCTCTCTTCAACCCTCACAATGAAACCCAGATTGTCGTTTGTAATTTGTAATTATTCGTTTTCTTGGCCAGGATCCAAAATATACATCCAAAAAATATTTCTGTTTAGCTCAAAAGAAGCCAAAGGGTCTATCGTCCTTCCCATTAGTGCTTTGGCTCAAGTTTGCAATTACCTAGTTCCCAATGTAAACTGGTCCAGTTTGTAATTCTTGGCTGCTTTACAAATCAAGCATCATATCTCCCAGAAATTCTCTTGGAATATAAAGTGAAGTATTCCCATCAGCATTCAGACTAAGTGAGCGGTTTTGCGAATGTAAACACACACACAGAGGCTGTCCTGCTATCCTGCTATGAAGCCACTGGACCCAAAGCCATGTGATTAATGGGGACATCCCCTATTGGGAACATTTCTCTTGCTTGCCCCATCCAAAGCTAGAATGCTTCCTCATTCCCAGGAACCGTGTTCTGGAAGGAAAGAGCAATTGAGGATTAGTTTTCAGCAGGCAATATAATAAAATATGTCAGTGTGGCTTGGCATACAGTGCGCACTCATGCAGAATTTGAGGGAAAGTAAGCATTTACTTCTAACGTGTATTTGATTATTGTATTTTATTTCTTAGATTTACATCCTGCCATTCATTCAGGAGCTCGTGGGACAGTACAGTGAGGCAGGCTGAGCTGAAAGAGTTTATGTTGAGTTTATGTTCTACCTTTTGTCTAGGAGCTCAAGATGGCTTACATGAAGATCTCCCTTCCCTTTTAGCCCCACAACAACCACCCACAACCCTGTGAAGGATTTGGCTTGAGAGGGACTAGACCAAAGTCTCCCAGGGAGCTTCTGGGGCTGAGGTTTATTTATTTATTTATTTAACTTGTCCCCCCC